TCCATGACAGAATGCATGTCAAGTATGGCATCAACTCCAACTTACCGCTCCAGGAGTGGGAGGAAGGGAACGATTGGTTTGCTCCCTCACCTACCTGTAGATCTCTGCTATCGTAGTTTCTTTTCTTGTGAGATCTGTGTCATTTGCTCATATGGCCCTTGCACTATTTTTGTTAGTATCATTTTGTGGACAGAGGAAGATAGTGGAAAGATTCCTGTTGGATATACCACATGTAAAACTTTAGAGTTACCTAGAGAAGTGCAAGTGGGGCCTAGTTCTAGTGAGTGGAGAAGCAGGTAGTGAAAAGGACTTGAAAACTTGGCTGGAAATGTAAAGAAATCATGACAGAGTCTTGAGAGAAGTGAGGGGTAGACTGAGGGATCAGAAGAGTTCAAAGGGAGAAACCAAAGGCATTTATTTTATTTTATTTTATTTTATTTTATTTTATTTATTTATTTTGATATGGAGTCTTGCTCTGTTGCCCAGGCTGGAGTACAGTGGCACAATCTCTGCTCACTGCAAGCTCCACCTCCAAGGTTCACACCATTCTCCTGCCTCAGCCTCCCGAGTAGCGGGGACTACAGGTGCCCGCCACCACGCCTGGCTAATTTTTTTGTATTTTTAGTAGAGACGGGGTTTCACTGTATTAGTCAGGCTGGTCTCGATCTCCTGACCTCGTGATCTGTCCACCTCGGCCTCCCAAAGTTCTGGGATTACAGGAGTGAGCCACCATGCCCGGCCAGGCACATGTGTTTTTATGAGACAAGGTCCTGGAAAGGTTGGGGTCTACTGGGTCCTGCAGGTCCAGGTGAGCTTAGTCAAGATGGAGAATTTAGATCACCTTGGACAAGTGTCAATCTGGCTGAGCCATGCCTCTTACTGTTACTTGACAGCATCCTGTGTTCTCGTCTTCTCTTGATGCCTCACACTGGGATCCCCAGGATGGAAGAGCCTGTCCTACTGGAGGTAATGCCTGGCAAGTAGGTGTTCCATAAATGGTGGGCTGGGTAAGCTAATGACTAGAACCTATCCTTTACACCATTTCTGTCCTCTGAAAATGCAACATTCATGGCCCTCAAAGTGTGACATAAGGACACTGCATGCAGCGCTGTGATATTATAGTGATGTGAGCATGGGTTCTGGTGCCAAATACCCACATAGCATCATGACCTCACTGGCTGCCTCACTACCTGTAAGTGCCTCAACTCGGGCTGTGCTCTGTCATCTGTCCTGTGGGAAGCCTAATGTCACCTGGCAGTGTTGCTGGGAGGATTTGGCGTGTGCGTGCAGGGCAGGGGCTGGCCAGCACTCGGTGGGTGCTGGCTACCGCCATCATCCTGCCTGGCATCAGGGTCAGCTCCGCACCCTGGCGTACAGGTTCGTCAAGTCAAACATCTGTCCCTCATGTCTGTTTGAACGTGTCTCTAGGCAAACATACCCAGAAGAGTTTGATGTGAACTAAATGCTGTGTTTACTTCGATTTGATGTGTCACAAGGAAGAGAGATTCTAGAACCTGAAGCCCACCCCCCACCCGCCTCCGGTGTGCAGCTGAACCAATGAACCCACGTGCTGACCCCGAGGCTCCCCATCTGCATGGCCACGGCCACCACTAGACCTGGGCCTAGAGAAGTGGGCCCAAACTACTCCTCAGTCCCCTGTGAACTGGGCCCAGACCCTGCCCCTTGTCTCCTTTTACCACAGTGGACAGACATTTATCAAAAGCTCACTGAAAGAAGGGAAAGAGGAAATAATTATAGAAAAACAGAAATTCTCTACCAGGAATTTTGGGTCAGCTGCTGCTGTTTTCCTAACCTGGTGAACTTTTTAACCAGCTGTGGGGTGAGTGCAGGGGCTTGGGATTTATGAAACCATCGGGTTAAGACCCAGTGCCCAGATAGCATAGAGATTTAGCTGTCTTGGAGTGGGGTCATCAAGCCAGCTTGTCACACGTGGCGGGGGCAGGATCTGCATCTGGGCAGGCGGGCTCCGGAGCCTTCGCTTGGAAACTGCTGTGTTCTGCTTGAGCAGCTTTATGGGAATAAAAACGTCCCCTGCACAAAAGCTTCTGGGGTATGCTATGTAAGGTAAGCATGTTTGGCATTTTTCAGGACCTCTCAAAGACCGCTGTGCATTCCTATGAACCTGCCTGCAACTCTCTCCCTGTCGTTTGGGTCATGCTCAGCAGTGTACAGACATGCTCAGGAGTTCCCATCTTTCAAAAGCTCTCTCCCCTTCCACTATCAAGATGGAAGTCAATTCATGTGAGTTAATGTAAAGCTCTCAAATCCTTTCCTATCTCCCTTAGAATAAAAACCTCTCACCATGGGCGATAGGCCCTCAGAGTATCTGGTCCCTGCTGGGCTTTTCATGACCCTGTCCTACCCTACCCCACTTCTTCACAGACTGCAACACGTTGTGAGACCCCTGTGCTCAAGTGTTGCCAGGCTTGCTTTGGGAGACAGAAGTAGCAGCAATGTGGCTGGTAGAAAAGGATAGCAATCCTGGCACAGGTGGGGGTTCTTGGTGGAGGCAGGAGTAAAGAGAGGCAGCGGCAGTGTGTGGCAATGTCACGGCTGTTTAGCTGGGAACTCAAGACACTCGTGAGATAATTACTTAGGATACTGGGAGGGCTCTGCAGGGGCCTGGGGTTCTGCATCCAAAGGAGAGGGAGAGAGTCCGTGAAACGTTGTTACTGACTCCATTTTTACCCACAGACCAGGGAAACATGGATATATGGGTTCCATTCCGAAATTCCTTCAGGAATAAGATGCATTCCTGGTCCATCACTCAAAAGTCAGTTGACAAGGAACCTTCCTTTTCTCTCTATTTCTGTTTCTCGCACACACATACCCTTAAAATTGTATTTTAACTTTAAAGAACATGTACATTCATTTGTTATTCTTTTAACATAAGCCAACTCTTTGTTTTTTTTTTTTTTGGTATGAGACATTCACAATTTCCAGTATTTCTTTAAAGTCAAACACAAGTTTTATGACACTGTTGAAGTATTCTGAGGGCAGAACCCCAGATTCTTCCCATTTCTCGCTATTGCATGTTTCATTCAACCATACATTTATCAATGTGCCTCTACTGAGTCTTTCTAAAGCATTCCAGGGTTTCGATGAATCAATTCCCTACTTTTCATGTTCATAATTCATGTAATTCATGAGTCTGCTTCATATTAAATGATGTAATTACAGTAACAAGTACAATGGGAATCTGTCAGTTTGGGACCAGGTTCAGCAAATGTAGCTCAATTGAGAGAAGTGGGTAGTGGTGGGGATACTAGAGACCCCCCGACAGGTCAGCCTCATTCACTCAGTGTGCCTGACAGTTAAGTCAGGTGTTTTACAGATGAGATGCCCAGTGCTGGTTACATAGAGATTGGAGAATAGAACTGAATAATCACGCCAATTCATTTCGAGATAAGAATGGCATTTGCAGATCCTACTTGGCCAACAGGTGGCAGATGTGGCTCAGGCATTCATGACCTCCTATCCCTACTGGGGACTCGGCAGGAGCCTAAGCCTTCGCCAGGATTAGTGGTTGAGACAGACAGACAAGCTTCCTTTCATCATGGGAAACCCATTTCAGTCTCCTCTGCTCCTTCAATAGCCTGGGGGCATTTTCTCTCCAGGTAAAAATCAGCAGAATTCCATGGCTGTGGCGAGAGAACCCAACAGGGTCATCAGAACGTACTGCTGTTCCCACCCAATTTCTCCAAGCCTCAGTTTCTCCTCTGAATATGGAGAATAGGGCCAATTTTCTACTTCATTGGGTTGCTATGAGGACTCAAAGTCACCTCGTATTCTCTTCTCTCTCCTTGAATAGAGGGGAGGGCAGCATCTCAACCCCAGGGAAAAATCCCATCACCCAGACAGCTGGCTCGCCATGTCCGTGGCTGAGCGAAGACAGACGCCACTCTCCCCAGACCCTCCTGAGCTCCAGCATCCAGACCTTGATGCTGCTGAGGGCCCTGAGCAGGTGCCCGCCTCCTGGTGGACAAGCCCCTGGTAGCTGCCTGGAGACAATGGGTAGCTGGCCACAGTGTGGGAGCCGCCCTGCCTGCCTCACCCTGCGGGCCTGCCTTCCTGGTAGGAAGCCGGCATTTCCTGGGAGGACTGAGCCCCAGGCATTTAAAGCATCAGGTGTGGGCAATGTTTATACCTGACTTTAGGTGGAGCTGGTTGGGCCTGAGTGACGTTTCTAGTGGCTGTGGTCAGAAACTGGGCGCTCTGGTGACCACTGCTCCCTGAACAAACCCCTGCAGGTTACTGCTCAGGGGCAGCGAGGGGCCAGCCACACATCAGGACGCCGTGAGGGGAACAGGTGAAGAAGCAGTGTGACACTGCTGGGCCCAGACGCACTGCGTTGCTGCCTCCTGAAGCACAGCCCAGGAACTCCAGCCGGGCCTGGCCTGGGTGCCCTGTGGTTGGGAAAGGCTTTCTGGAGGGATTTGCCCTAAGGGAGCCTTCAGGTCTGTGGATGAGCCAGAGGAGGGGGGTGAACAGCAGGGAAGGAGGGACTGGAAGGGAGCTGGGCAAGGGCCCAGGGTGAGGCATGGGCACCTGAAATATGGCGAACAGACGCTTCCCATGGCCTTGGCTCAGCCCTCCTGTAGAGCGGCCACACTTGCCCACACCTCGCCCCAGCACAGCACCTGCGCTGGGTGCGCACTCAGGCTCTGGCCCTGGAGCAGAGCTGGGGCCATGGTGGAAGACCCAGGGGACCTCCCAAGACAGAAACTAGCTGCAGAGGTCCAGATGGCTAGGGGGCAGGGGAGTAAAGAAAGGCATCCCACCTTGAGCACACAGACAAGAGAGCTGAAAGCACAAGGCTGCTGCCCCTCAGGGGGCTTCACGTCCCACTTCACAATGCCTGTGCTATTCCACCCAGGGGCATACCTCAGGGGGCTCCTAGCCCTTGGAGAAACAGGAGTGGTCACCTAAGAAGCCCTGTATCGCGCGGCATGAAAAATGAGCCAGGTAACAGGGCACCATGCTTTGTGAGCGCATTTAATAAAGAAAGCTAACTGCTCCCAGTGGCTGCCTGGATCCTGTGGCAGAAATGGTGGGTGCCCTTCCTTTCTGTGGCCATGAAGGACATTTCCTGGGTAAGGGCTAAGCGCTACTCTTGGTACTGTCCCCTTCTGACCCTCACCAGGAGCTGCATGGTTGGAGCAGCATCTGATCCCACCTGGAGTGTGTGGGGTCCCAACAGTCCCCACAGAGGTATCAGGATCTCTCTCTCCAGCTGGTTCCAGAGCGCCTGGCTGCTCCAGAGATACAGAGGCTTCTGACTCCGTGCATGGCTGGAGACCAGCAGACGTGGCACAGAAGTAAGCTCTGCCATTCCTTTTACTTTGGGGCCCTGGCACCTTTTGCCCCAATAGTCAAGCTTCCTAGGGTTGAAAAAAACTCTTCCATTTCCCTCTGCAACAGCTGGTTCCTCCTCTCCGCATCCTCCCGTGCCCGCTCAGAGTTCCGCAGCTTTATTTCCAGCATGATGTATTTTTTCTTTTCCTGGTCCAGTTCTTCTTCTAACCGAGACATTCGTTTTCTCAGGTCAGCACTCCCTTCTTCGATTCTGAAAGTCAAGGAGAGATGCTGTTGGAGACTCTGCGGGCAGATTCACTGTCCCATGGGTGTACCCTGCTTGCGCTCACTGTGGGTTGAAGGGTCAGGCCAGGCCATGGCAGCAGGAGGACACCCCGGCTCATCTGCTCCTCACAAGAACCCCAGTACTTCACCTGTGAGCAAACTGTCCCCTGCCATAGCTCCCCTCAGCGTGCGATCCTGAAATGTGAACACAAGGATCCGTGCCTTCGGTGCCTCCCTGGGTCTGCATTTGCCCCTCCAGTGCAGTATGGGATTCCTGCCAGCTGGCAGGAACAGCACAGGCCCCTCCATAGGGAGGGTTGGGACTTGGACTGTCCCCTGGCCTTTGCTCCTGTGCTGTGGCCTCCCCTCCTACAGCTCCCCACACCGTCCCCACGATCCAGCCACACGTGGCGACCCACAGAAGATCCCGTGGGGTGGTCACTTCCATTCCTGCTTGCCTGTCATGTTCAGCTCAAGCGCCCCCAACATGACGCTGCTTCCTGTGATCCTCCCCAGCAGGTCCCAATGGTGCTCCTCTGCACCATCAGAGCCTATACCACATGCTTCCATGCAGGTTCATGCCGCAGTGTGCCAAGGTTGGCACGGCCGTCTTTTTGACCAGACGACCAGCTTCTGTCTGTTCGAAGGGACACACCTGAGCCCAGCCCCTGGGAACACATGCTGGATTTTAAGGCCAGCCTGGTGACCTGTGAGCCACATGGCTGTGGGCAGGACACAGGCCACACTGAAATGCAGAGGGTGACTGCTCCTCAGAGCAGTAACCATGGGCTGGAAGATGCCAGGGGCCCAGCACAGTGCCTGGTATCTGGTGCATGATGAACAAACACGGATTCCCCAACCCACCAAAATGAGGCTTCCATCCTCATCACTGAGTGTGCAGCATGGCCTGAGCCCTCCTCACCAGGAGCACAGGCAGCTGTCAGAGAGAAGCCACCTACCTCCCCACTGCTGCCCCTGGGCTCGGGCCTGGACCTCCCCTGTTCCTTCTCTGCCAGGCTCAAGACTCCAAGCCCCAACTACATGCTGATGACTCTGCACCATTTCATCAGCATCTCCGACTTAAAGGGTCCTGACCCTCATCTGCAGACCACTCTTCCGCAGCCCTGGTGCACTCTCTTGGTGAATACCTTCCTTCAGCTGCTCAGCTGAACAATGATGTCCTCCCCTAAGTCCATTCCTTTTCTTGGTCCCATATCTGATCAGCTAGCAAAACCTTTTGGCTCTGCCTTCAAAATATGCTCAGCACCTGGCCGCTTCCCCTACCTCCACCAGCTGCCCCATAGGGCCACACCCCCGATAGGTCAGGCCTAGACCCCCACACCTCCTAACTGGTCTGTTCTGCCCTTGGCCCCTGGCAAGCTCTGCTCGGCATGGCACCCAGGTGTGCCTGTCCAAGTGCCCAATGTGCCAAGACCCTCCATCAACTTCACACTTCATTCTCATCTCACTCTGCGAAAGACCAGAGCATTTTCTCTGCCCCACACATCTCCAGTCCCCAGCCCCTGACTCTCCCCGCCTGTAGGGGTCCTGGGCTCAGTGCTGGCTACAGCTCTGGGGTCTCCTTCCCAGGGCCCTCCAACCTTCTATCCTGAGGCTCCTCTCCGCTCCCCTCCATGCTGCCCTATGTTCCCCTCCTTCATCTCCCTTCTAACACACCGTGTATTTTTCAAAAGGTATCGTGCTTACGGTCTTTGTCTCCCTGCAACCCAAATAAGAATGCGGACAGAGATTTGGATCAGTTTTTGCCACAGCTGTGGCCACCTGCACAGCATCTGGTACTTCACAGGAAACAGGTTCTCTTTTGGGAATGCACGAAGGAAGGCTGACTCCCCAGCAGGGCCCTGGGGAGGGGCTCTGTCCAGAGTCCTGGGAGCCAGGACAAGGCCAGCCTCACCCCCCCCCCCCCCCCCCCACCGATGGCTCCATACTTCCAGAGAACAGGACACACATTCCCCAACCACCTGCTGGACGGGACAGGTGCTAATGCCCTCGCTTTCCTTCCTGTGCTCAGAGACCCTCCTCACTCTAGACCCTCCCGCTAACCAAGACAACAGCCCAGACCACTCTGCTAGTGACAACAGGTCCTCCACAAGGGCTACCACTGCTGTCCCTTTCCCTCTGGGAACCTCATCTTACCTCCAGCCAGTAGGCAGGAGTTAATGCAAGCAGCAAAGGTTCTTGAGTGCTGCCATCCACTGTGGGTCACTTAACACTCAGGACAAATGGGTGAGGTCACTGGGCCCAAAGATCCTGCCAGGGACACTCAGCCAATCCCTGGTGGAGCTGGGACTAGAATCCAGGTAGTCTGACCGGGAGTCCAACAGTCCTGCATCTCCCTTGAGAAACCAGACCTCAGAGCAGGCCAGAGGAGCTCCACGGACTCAGCACACAACTGGCGAAGCTGGTCCAGTCCAGCCTTCTGTTCTGCATGGTAAGAGTTCCCACACGCCCTGGAGTTTGGCCTGTGAGCGCATCTGCAGCAGACAGCGTCTTCTACTATATTTCCGGAGGCCCTTGGGTTCTACTGATGCTATTTCCTTTCTCGGCTCCATCCTATGAGTCCTTCCAGCCCTGGCTCAGGCACTGCCTGCTGTGACCTTCCCCTTGGCAGGGGCCTCTGCCCTCAAGGTCCCCCCTCTCCTGTCTCTTCCTTTTGCAGACACGGTGCCTGCACATGCCTGGCACTCTCCAGCACCCAGAGAACAGCTGTCAGCAGAAGAAAAGGGCAATGGCTGCCATTCCAGCTCCCAGTGGAAATCACAGGTTCAGAGTGGGCAACAGGAATGCCTTCCACCTCCATTCACTGCCTCTAATGGAAAAAGGAATTCCCTGCTAGTGGGTGGGACCCGGTGAACAGGTCAGCCGACTAATGGGGACCTGCAGCGAGAGGGGCCAAGGAGTCTGCAATGCTAAGGGAAACCCAGTGCACTGGAGAACCCGGCCTCCAGGAGCTGAGGTTCCTCACTGCAGAGGGGAACCCCGTCCTCATGGGAGGCTGGAACTCCAGCCCTCTGTTAATGAGATTGCAAGTCTCAGGGTGCAGCACAACCATCCTGTGACAAGGGCGGGCACAAGGACTTGGTTCAGCAGGGAAACTGGATTCTGATCCCATCAAGGAAGGGATCCTCACTTCTAGCCTGGCTGGTCTGGGGCCTCAGCACTTCCCGGCGCCCAGCATCCGGGCTATGGGCCCCTGTACTGGGACAGGCCTGGGACCTGCAGGGTCCTGCCCCCTCCCCCCTGGCTGCAGACTGCACACAGACTCTGTTCCCACCTGTGTAGCAAAGGCCCCCGGTGAGCTGGGCGGGCATTCCCACTCACACGGAGTCAGCAGGCCTCTGCAGCACTGACTGCGTGCCAGACTGACTGCGTGCCAAGCCTGCCAGTCCCAGGGCTTTCCCAGAGCTAGGATTCCCCTCTCTGAGGCTGGCTTCCAGGGCCAGTGGCTGGGGAGTCAGAGGCCGACGCCCATGTGCCAAGAGCACAGTTTTCCTGCAGGCTCCACCCCGTTACAGGAGGCTCCACGGGGCAGCACGTTACCTTTTCACACTCCTCTCGTACTCAGTCCGCTGGCGGCACAACTCGGCCCTGAGCTCAGTGACCAGCCCCTGTAAGGCCTCGGAGCGGCGCGCGTGCTCTCGGGTGGGGCTGCCCGGCTCGCTTGGCTCGCTGTTGCTGGCACCCGTCCCCGTCTCGTCCAGGCTGTGGTCCAGGTCCAGGGACTTGGGGTCCTCGCTGCTGCTGGGGAGCGGGGACGGCTCCAGGGCCCAGTCGGTGTGCAGGGAGCTGCGGGCGGACGAGTCGCTGGCGCGGCAGGCCGTGCAGCTGCTGAGCGAGCCCCCCACCGACGACTCGCTGGAGGCCCCGGACCACACCATGCTGGCCACGCTGGGTATGCCGGGCACCAGGCCCGGCGCGGGCACATTGTCGTAAGTGGAGAGTCTCTGCACGGAGCCCGAGTCCTTGAGCCGGTCTCCCGATGAGGCCCGGCGGTGGCCACGCAGAGAGGACAACCCGTTCATGAACCAGTTCCCGCCGGAGGAGATGATGGGCACCTCCAGGGACGCGCCGCCCCCCTTCGGGCTTCCCGATCGGGATCCCGGCTGACGGAAGGAGGACTTCCAACTGGGCAGGGTCTGCACCTTCTTCCCAGGGCTGCACCGGCTCCCCGGTCCCGTGGGGGCTGTTCTGGAGAGCACCGCCACGGCCGCCCCATCCAGGGAAGAGGTCCTGTGCGCGGGCAGGCCGGGGTCGCAGGGCTCTCCCTGGCTGTCTCTGGTGACCTCCTCGGAGCCCCACCCCACTGCACATTGCGGGCCCCTGCGCGGGGAGGTGGACCCTTCCGGGGCCGGTGCCGTGAAGAGCTGGCCGTGTTTGCGGATAAGGACAGTCATCAGGTGCTGGACGAGGGAAGTGCCTGCCGGAAAGAGAGGCGGAGAAGGGCCCTGCTGCCAGCCACCCGGCCCAGGGTCGCTCTGCCAGTCATGGGGACCCAGCTTAGTGGGAGCTGGCCCTGTAGCCAGAGCCAGGCTGCCCCGCAAGGGAGCCTTCATCCGCCCAGAAGAAAGAACCACACACCCTTCAACTCCAGGCAGGACAGCAGGATGGGGCCGCAGAACCATCTTCCTCAGGCACAGAGCCACAAGCCGGGGAGGAAGCACTGTGCCTGCGCTCACGACCTCCAGCCGGGGTGGGGTGAGGAAGCAGGCACCAGGGCTGCAGGGTGAGCAGGTGGCAGGTTGGAACTGGAACCTGGGACCTGAGATGCCAGAACTCTCTCGGCTGCCCCATGTCACCCCCGTGCTGCTGACAATGGCCATGCCTGAATGTCCACACTCTGGGAGCATAGGGCTCTGGGACAGGGAATAGAGCCATCTTTCCTGTGTGGGGGCACACACATACAATTGCACACACAGTGCACCCCGCCCACCCCTAAAATCCCCCCACAATCACACATACAATGCACCCCATCCACCCCCAAAGTCTCACACACACATACAATTGGACAAACAATGCACCCACCCAGCCTCCCCAAATCTCCCAACACACAATTGCACATATAATGCCCACTCCCCAAAATCCCACACACATAAATGACACACACAGTGCACTCTGCCCAGATTCCCCAAAGCTCATACACACACAAGTGAACATACAAATCCCCCACCCAGCCTCCCCAAATCCCCCCATACACAGTCGCACAATGAACCCCACCCACTCCCCAAAATCCCCCCACACACAATTGCACACAGAATGCACCCTCCCCAAATTCCCCCATATACAATCACACACATAGTGCACCCTGCGCATCCCCCAGAATCCCACATACATATAATCTCACACACACACAATCCCGTCTCTAGGCCAAGGCCTCTGAGATGCAGCCCCCGTGCTGGGGACTCAGTTCCTACGGTGGTGGGGTGGGGGCCCACAGCGGAGGTGGGCAGTGTAGGAAGGACCTTGGCATCTACCCAGTTGCCTCATTCCCTCCCACCACCCTCACCACAAAGGCCAGACTCTAGGAGGTCCCCAGGTGGGAGGGAGGGCTGAGCGCCGGGGTGGACTCTCCCACTGAAGTTGACTAGGAATACTGGAAGAAGTCAAGGAAAGAATTCTGAGGCCAAGAACATAGGTGAGGCAGGAACTCCATGAAGCAGGCAGGGCAGGCCTCCACCTCAAGCATCTGTACCACCAGGCAGGTAGGAGCTTGTGTTTTCCTGGCCTCATGGGGCCCTGGGGTGGGAGGCCAGCCAGGACAGACCAAAGTGGGGACTTCAGCAAAAGCACTCCACCATGTCCCTCCACATGGGATAAGGGCAAGAACAACCTCAGCTGTGGGCTTCCTGTCTGAGCAGCACGCCTCTCACGCATACTCCACTGGGGACAGTGTTTCATGGGCCCTATGAGGTGGGCTCTCTCTTCTATGGCAGCCTACACCTGTGCCCTTTGCTAAGTCTGGCTAACTGGCCTCTGGTGAGTCCCCTCGCCTCTCCTGGCCTCAGTTTCCTCATCTGTAAAGAGGGGGCGATTACCACAGCACAGGCTGGTTGTAAACCTGAAATGAGGTGATACAAACAAGGCACTTAGTAGAAGCTTACTGAAAGCAGCTGCTGTTGCTGCTTTTTTTTTTTTTTTTTTTTTTGAGACGGAGTCTTGCTCAGTCGCCCAGGCTGGAGTGCAGTGGCACGATCTCAGCTAACTGCAAGCTCCGCCTCCTGGGTTTACGCCATTCTCCTGCCTCAGCCTCCTGAGTAGCTGGGACTACAGGTGCCCGCCACTACGCCCGGCTAATTTTTTTTGTATTTTTAGTAGAGACAGGGTTTCACCGTGTTAGCCAGGATGGTCTCGATCTCCTGACCTCGTGATCCACCCGTCTCGGCCTCCCAAAGTGCTGGGATTACAGGCATGAGCCACCGTGCCCAGCCTGTTGCTGCTATTTTTAATCACTTATTGTTATTTATCATAAATCCTCCAGGGTTTGCAAAGCTGACATCCAGGAACCTATGACAATTGCTTAATTGTAAAAGAAAAGTAAACATGTCTGTGTTCAAGGGCAAGAGTGCTGACCTCTCCCATCCCTCCAGCCTCTTCCATCCACAGAAACCACTGGCCATTCTAATTGCACCCAGGGACTTGCTGCTGCCCATCTCAGGGCAAAGTTCCTTTTTATCTTATAGCTGGACCTCATGGGGGTCGGCGGGGTGAGGTCTGCAGAAGCTCCTGCCAAGTCCCCCGAGATGGAGATGTGCCACCTGAGCCACCCCTCCTGCTGGCCTGGCCCTGGGCTGGGATGGTTCCGAGGACTTGCCCCGGACCAAGATGAGCCCAGACCCCAGCAGCACCCAGGGCCACCAGGTACACCTCCCACTTACCTTCCATGATGGTTACTGGGTCCTCTACCTGTGGCCGCAGAATGTTAGGTCCAAAAACGGTTGCCAGGTTCTGGACACTCATCTTGTTGACATTTGAGTATGCCTGAACTTCATCCAGAAACCTGCAAAGTAAGGAAGCAGCAGTCATCAAAGAAGCAAGTTCTGACACCCAGTCTCCTGTGAGTGGCCTGGACGCCCCACCGCACCCCTGCTGAGCCCTGCTGCCTATGGGCTTTTGCCCACTGGGTGCAGCCTGCCTCTGCCAGGCTCAATGAGGGCAGGCTTCCCTTGGGGCCCAAGAGGGCCATCAGAAGCAAAGCTCACTGGGACAAGGGCCCACCGCTATTTGCGTGAAAGGAGGACATGACGCTGCACATTGCAGTGTGCACAAATTCTGGGAAGTCCCAGACATTAGTCAACACTGCCCCTGCATGCTCCTTCTCAGTGTCTAGGATGGGGATACATGAAGGGTTGGGGGTCAAGGGGCAGATGCCTAGGGGGACAGGATGGCAAGGAGCACCCAGGAGGGACAGAGGGTATTATCTACCCAGGGCTGTTTAAAACCAGCTGCTCCCATGGGACTATAAGCTTCATGAACTCAGGGTCTGCATTTTTCCACTCCCAGCTTCATCCACGCTGGGTAAGGCTGTGCAGGGTGGGGGAATGACCCGGGCACCCCTCTGACAAGGAAGAGTTATGTGTCTCGCTGTGGGGCTGGGGAGTGTGGAGCCAGTGCAGGCAAGTGTGGTTCCCCTCCTGCCACGCCACTTACTTGCAGATGTATCTGAGCAGGTTGTAATTGGCCTGAGGAAGGTTGCTCACTTGTTTAGCCAACTCCAGAGTGCCCTTAGGAATGAATAACAGAATTTTAAACACCAGCAATGAGGCCCCTCGTCCTTCTCTAACTGCGAGGAGGGGTGGGCAAGGAGAAGCGAGGTGGGGGCTATGGCGGCCCAGCCCCAACAGACCAGAGGGCTCCACCACCTCCACCTCCCCTCAAGGAGTGGCCAGGGCCCAGCTGTGACCTCCTGGGAAGCTAACTTGCTTCTAAGGAGCTGGAGTGAGGGGTGAGCCTCTACGGGGCCGGTGGAGGAATGTCAGGGCCAGCACTCAGCTCACTTATCAAGACACAAATATTTGCCAGATAATGAGCCCTCAACTCCCACAGGGCCACAGGGGAGGCAAACGGTCCTTCCCTGACCCTGAGCCACCTGGGGCTGCAAACCAGCACCTGCGTGGGTGGGAACGGGAGGGCTGGCTCATCGGTCCTGGGAGCCAACTCAAATTCTTTTGGGAAGGAAGCAAGATATAAATAAAAGATCTCCCTGTTTCTGAGCCCATGACAGGCCCGAGTGGCCTGAGTCGGGTATGAGGAGTGTGAGCACCTACTGGTGTGGCAGCCAGAGCTGGGCACCCCGGACCCACCCCTCCCAGGGACCAAGGCTGCAGACAGGTATGGCTCCAGGCAGACAGGTATGGCTCCAGACAGACAGCAGGATGCCCCGACCCCTCCCCGACCTGAGCAGGATGGCCTGGCCCCTCCACCAGCCGAGCAGGATGGCCTCCACCACACCCCCAACACAGAGCCGGCCTCCACAGGATCCATGTGCCATGAAAATTCATGAAAAGTCAGAGTCTGTGTCCTGAGTCTACAGGCCACCACCCAGCCAGCCCATCTCCCAGGAGCTATCCCAGGAGCCACTGACCTCCCCCTCGTCCTTGGTGAGCAGCTGGGCGCAGCTGAGGAAGTCCTCGTACCTGGCGAAGGGGACCACAGGCTCGGGGAGCTCCCGCAGGTAGAGCTTCAGCAGGGAGGCCACCGTGTGCACGTCTGTTGTGCTGGGGGCGGGAAGGGAAGAGGACAGGTGTGTGAGGTCTGGGATGCCAGGGGACTTCAGGGGTGACTGGTACCCCCTGATGCCAAGGGGCAGCCTCTGGTCTCAGATGCATGCTTGGGCGCACTGGGGGCTGCATCTGCGGCCAGCTGCCTTGGTCAAGGAAAGGCCAGTGCTGCTTCTGGGAGCAGTGGACAGGGCTGGGGCAGGGGCGACTAAGTATCCATGGCCAGGAGCTCCAGCTCAGGGACCACCCATCATGCCTAGGCACCTGCTCAGAACCCCTGAGTCTGTGTCAGTCCATTCAGGACCTGCTCCTGTCCTGGGTAGACTGCGTAGGACTCCAGGGACTGCAAAGCCACAGGGCCCTGCAGGGCATAGCTGCTCCACCCTAGCAGCTGCCCTGGGCCGGAGGAATCAAGCGTGATGCAGGTCAGGTTGCACAGGGGAGGGCCCTGGGACATGGGCCAGGGAGCCCCTTCCACAGGCCTGGTGGCCATCCCAAGGTCCCCTGCAGGATGATGTGGAAGCCGCCCGCTCTGCGGTAGGAACAGCTATCCTGCAGGCCCTCCATAGGTGCTGCCAACCCCCAGCCTGAGCTTGCACTCTCCGCTGCACTTGACCTTGGCTGGAGTGGGAGGAGCTGCATCAAAGGCGCCCACAGTGCAGGGCTGCTGGCTCCTTGTCGGGGAATCCCACTCCCCAGAATCCCAACGGCAGGAGCAGGTCGGAGGTCAGGCCCTTTCCTCTCTTCCTGTCCACCGTGGGGACACCTGGGCTTCTAAGCTCATCACCTCTCCAGTGCCCCAGGAGTCCACTCCAGGCCTCAGTCTCCTGCTCTGGCTTGGAGCTGCCAACGCAGAAGTAGACCAGCTGTGGATGGTGGTGACAATGGGCCTGGCGCAGTCCTTCCCTGGGTCCTGTGTGGGGTCTGCAGTTCAGGTCCTAAACGAGAGCCTTGGCATCTCCTCTGAGCTTGCACTCCAAGCCGTATACGGGCCCCAGGTTTTTCATCTACCTGTCTAGGACCATAGACTTAAACCCTGGACTTCATTTCCCTCAGGAAAGATGAGCCCGGGGCCAGGAGACTGTGGCTGTGCCATTATGCTATCACCTGACCCCTGATGGATCCCAGGCTAGGCTCACTGAGATAAATACCTTCTGGCCCTGACACTTGGGATTCTGGGGTTCCATGTATCCATATGCACCCCAAATCCATATACCTGGGGCCCCTCCTTTCCTGAGGCTCAGTGACTCTTGGTTTGGCTGGGTCCAGTCAGCCCTCACCCTACCCCTCTTCCCTCTCCAGCGAGACATGTTGCTACCACACCCTACTCGGCCTTCTCCGGGGCCATGTTCCTGGCCAGCTGCCCTGGGGGAGGGGCAGGAGGCAGGAAAGTGTGGTTGGGAGCCAGCCCGCATGTCTTCCCCTTTCCTGCAGCTGGGGGACGGAGCGCTTCTGCCCTGGCTGAGTGGACACAGAGCCACCCCTCCACTGCAGACCTGTCTGGCTGCATCCCTGCCCTGAAGGGTCCTGCTGCTTGGCCCTGTCTGACCCCCCATCTGCTCAGCACCTGAGCTCTTACTTCCTTTCCTCGCCCCTCCCTCCCTTCCTCCTTCCCCACTGCAGTGCCTTTCCTCCAACAGCTGTCGCCAGGCCTTTTCTTGAGACTTTTCCCTAAACTGCTGTCCCCTTCCTCCCTCCAACAAGACCCAAGGAGAATTCTATACAGCCTGCGGCCCTGTGTGTGCCTCCCCAGCCTGTGGGCCTCCCAGCATGCGGTCACGTTAGTGCAGGCGGAGGTTGGGGGCAGGGGTGGGGCAGAGAGGGCAGCAGCTGGTCAGGGGACGGGGTGCCTGCCCTAGGGGCAAACCGGCCCTGGTGGTCAGTGCCACCCACAGCAAGGCGACCCTCCATCTGCAGGTTCCTCATCACCTCTCCGTACCCAGGGAACCCCCCTGCCCATGCCAACACCAGCATCTATGCAGAACACGCCATGCCTCCAGCCTGGCCCCGACTTGCCTCACTCCCCTAGAGTCCATTTCTCATCACCCAGCCCCACTTCCTCGACCTGCCCCCAAGCCAGGCCGCCTGCTTAACCGCACCTGGGTGTCCACAGGGCTCCTCCCTGAGCAGCCCAGTCCTGCCATCTGCAGCACCCCGGGAGGTTCCCGACCACTAGGCCCAGGACTGGTGTCCCTGGTGTTTACTTATTATCTGTCAAGACCCCTTAGAATTTCTAATGCATGTGGGTGCCCCTCCACCCCTAGGCCTCCCAGCAGTCCCTCACTCAAAGGATAGGAGCTGAGGGAGTAACAAGAGTCTGGCAGCCAGGAGTCCATGCAGCCCTGGGCTCCGGCTCACAAGAGGCCATCCTCACAGCTCAGCAGCGCGGCGGCAGCCTGGGAGATGGACAGCCCAGTGCCCGGGGGACACCGTGCTGGGAAGGGGCAAGTATGGGCCAGCTCCAGCCACTGAGGCTTCCAGGCCTGGTGAGGCTTTAGCAGAAGAGAAGCCCAGGACCTGGGGCTAAAGGGGACCTTCTTATAGAGATGAGCAGGAAGGTGAGGAGGGGCTTCGTGGGGAAGGGGCCAGGCTAGCAGCCAACACCCCGGGAGGCGGGCAGGCCATGGCCTTGGGGACAGAGCTCCATCCCGGGACTCTGTTGGAAGTGGGTGAGGAGGGGACCCTCTGTTGGGGGTGGGTAGGGAGGGGGGACCCTCTGTTGGAAGTGGGTGAGGAGGGGACCCTCTGTTAGGGGTGGGTAGGGAGGGGGACCCTCTGCTGGGGTTGGGTGGGAAGGGGAGCCTCCATCGGGAGTGGGTGGGGAGGGCCCCTCTCTGGATACAGCTGCAGAGCCAGAGGAGCTGCCATGGAAATGGCGGAAAGTGGGAAGGATGGCCTCAGATACCCTAGGAGGAGTTTCTAAAGGGAGAGGAAACCAAAGCCCAGGGCCACCATGGCAATATGGGGGCCACTGCTGAGATGGGGGTGGAGTAACAAGGTCAACATGCCCACCGTGGAGATGACCCTCCAGACACAATTCCAGAAGCAGGGTAGAAGCAGCCAGAGAGGGAGAAGGCAGACAGGAGAGGGCCCCCAAGACACAGGGAAGGTTGCCCCAGGCTGCTGGGAGACAGAGAGTCAGGTCTGCATGGAACTCACCCTGGGGTGCCCAGTTGCCTCTCAAGGGAGCTTCAGCAGGCAGGCCAGGTGCAGAAAGGAGGCTGAGCATGCCAGGAATCCACCTTGGGAGAGCAGGTGGGCCCAGGTGGAGACCCGCCCAGCAGGATGGGAGAAGCTCGGCAGGGGAGGTGAGGTGCAGACGGCCTGCGCCACTCCAGGGGCCCCCAGCAGAGTTTGAGCAGGGGAGTGGCAAGATCTGATCTGTGTCTTCAGAAGCCCCTCAGGTAGCATCAGGCACTAGGGCAGAGCATCTGATCCTGGGGAGCTTCCAAAAGTCCTGGTTCCCAGGCCTTACCCAGGTGACATTATTTGAAGCAATCTGCAACCCTAACGCTGAGACACAAGATGGAAGAGGCCTGGCTGGCTGAGGTTCAGAATGGACCACAAGCTCACTGAGCGTCAACACTGGGATGGAGCTTCACAAAGCTCCAGAGGAAGGGTCCCCCGTACGTCCCTGGGTGGAGTACTGCTAGGGAACATGGTCAATCCTGGACTCCACATCTAAGGAGAGGAACCGACACCCTCCCCTGGCTGCAGTGATGGGTCTGGGAAAGAGCTGAGGGGCTGAGTGTTCTGCCCCTAGAGGAGAAGCCCTGGGAGGCCAGGGCTGCCTGTGGGTCCTGGTGGGCCCATCCTGGGGCAGATCCAAGAAGAAAGGGCAGAAGCCCCATAGATGGTAGGTTTTCTTGATGTAAGAAGAACTCTATGAAAAACTGCCCCATAATGGGTGGGGCGCTGTCGGGGGAAACAGAGTCCCCAAACAGCCCTGGACTGGGGGTAGAGTTGGCTCCACCCAGGGGCATCCAGGGTCTGGGTAAGCCCCCATGATGGGTAGGATGGACATGGCCCCAGGACAGATGGAGAAGACTCGCTCTCCTGTCCCCAGAACCCAGGAGGAGGGGACCCGAGCTGCTGTGCCATCTTGCCATCGATAGAGCCTGGGGGTAGGTCACCGGAGGAAGCACGGCCAAGAGACAGACTCCACAGAAGGCCTGGAGTCCCGGATACAGCTGCACCCAGTCTGTCCTCACATGGCAGCCAGCAGAGGTCCTTTTCCTCCAGCCTGGGTCAGGTTTATTAGCATGTGCAGGGGAGACAGGCTGTGTGGATGTGAGCTGGCCTTGTGCGTGGCAGGCACCCATCCTGAGAGGGGACCCCAGGCTGGCGGAGTGAGGGTGTGCCCTACACTCTGCCCACTAGGAGGGCTGGCCCACCATCCTGTTGCCAGCCCACCCCTGCCCACTGGAGCTGGTGTCCTGGGTAGGAGCCTGCAGGAGGAATAGACAAGTGGCTCCATCTTACCCCCAATCACAAGCTCACCTGTCAAACAGTGGCTTCTCCCCACAGTCGAAGGAATCCTGCAGGTCCCTCACCAGGTTGGCCTGGCCCGGCATGCGGAACAGCCCCTCCTCAGTGAGCCCGCGCTCCCGGATGAAGTCCACACACTGCTCCACCAGTAGGGGCGCCAGGCGGGGGCCATACTTCCGCTCGTGGTGGACTGTGTCCTCCAGGCGCTGCCCAAAGATCCCTGAGCATAGAGAGGAGCTAGTCACACCCTCCACCACCCAGCTCAGTGTTGGGTGCTCAGGACAATGGAGGGCAGGGGCACTGTTAGGGCTAAAGGTGGCTCCTCTTCAGGAAGCAAATTACACACTGGGAGGATGCATACCAGGAGGCTGGGCCCTGGTCGCCCGGACACATGCTGGGAGGACACACACCAGGAGGCTGGGCCCTGGGCTGCCTGTGGACAGACAGCAGGAGGGAGCAGTGAGCTGGTGGTGTGACCTGACCCGTGGAGCTTGCCCAAGCCAGGAGCAAATGGCCCTCGGGAGCGTGCATTATGCATGTCATTGATTGGTTTTGCAGTCATTCCAAATAAGAAGCCATCCAATGCTTATCAACAGCAGATCTCCTGTGTTCTGTTCTTACCATGGAACATAGTGCAGCAAGGAGAATAAATGAGGCACAGCTCACTGGACAAGACAGATGACATAGTAATGCGAAAACCATAGTCATGACTCAGCATCAATCATCATCAGGAAAATGCAAATCCAAACCACTATCTGATACCACCTCACACCCACTAGGATGGCTACTATCAAAAGATCAGATAGTAACAAGTGTTGGCGAAGATGTGGAGAAACTGGAACCCTTCCTTGTGCACTGCTGGCAGGATGACAAGATGGTGCAGTTGCTGTGGAAAACAGCACGGCAGTTGCTCAAAAAATTAAAACCAGAATTACCAGTAATCCCTCCCCTGGGTATATACCTAAAAGAATTAAAAGCAAGGTCTCAAAGAGATACTTGCACACCCATGTTCACAGCAGCATCATTCACAGTAGCTGAACCACGGCAGCAAGCCATGTGTCCATCAATGAATGGAGAACCAAGACGTGGTATTTGCATACAGTAGAACTTGATTCAGCCTTAAAAAGGACGGAAATTCAGACACGTGCTACAACATGGGTGAACCTGGAGAACATTATGTGAAGTAAAGCATTCACAAAAGGACAAATACTGTGTGATTCCTCTTATATGAAGAACCTGGAGTAGTCAAATTCACAGAGACAGAAAGTAGAATGGCAGCTGCAAGGGGCTGGGGACAGGGGAGATGTCAAGTTAGAATTGAACAGGCACAGAGTCTCAGCTTTGCAAGATGGAAAGCGTTCTGGAGATGGATAGTGCTGATGGTTGCAAGATAATTCGAATGAATGTAATGCTGCTGAACTGTGTGCTTTAAAAATGATGAAGACAGGAAATTTTATGCTAGGTGTATTTTATGAAATTTTTTAAAAATTAGAAAACAAAAACATCATCAGAAACAAAAGAAGCCGAAACCCCAGAGTGCACACTGCATGACTCCATTTATGTAAAGTTAAAGCTAGGCCAAACCCATCTGTGCTGTTAGGCCGGGACATGGTTACCTTGGTAGGTCTGTGACTGGAAGGGATTCAAAGGCTTCTGGGGTTCTGGTAATGCTGTGACTCTCCCCTGGCACTGCTTACCCAGTTATGTTCCTCTTGAGAAAATTCACTGAACTCTACCCTTATGACTTGTATACTTTTCTGCATGCTACTCTTAAATAACATTAGCGAAAAGACATCAGAGACAGAATGATCTAAAACAATACATGACAAGACACCAAATGAGGAATAGAGGGAGAGAGGAAGGAGGCAGAGGAACTTCTGAGAAAATCTATGAAAACTAAATACATCACTAGGCATAGAGGTTCCTGGCAGCCCAGGCAAAGAAGGAAAGGAGTTGAGATCCATAAAGCTGTCTACACCACGGCACAGTAACAGGAGAAACAGACTTCTGCCAGCCCCTAAGCTTTACAAGGTGAGTGCCTGACTCTTTGGAGTGCCTGACATTATTCACACCCACTGTGCAGAGACCTTCCCTGCAGGGTGGCTTGTGGGGTGTTCCAGGGGCAAGATGCCAAAACTCCAGGCTTGGGACTTCTCAGAGACCTGGGCACTGAGCCAGCTAAAAGTGGGGCTCTATTTGTCTTACTTAGCTCCCCACTAAGTGGCTATTTTGGAATAAGATACATCGGTCCCTGGTACAGTGCCTGGCACAGAGCAGGACACAGTAAATGCTCCTCCTCACCCTGCTTCACCCAAAAACAAAGTGTATAAAACCTGAAAGGTGAAGACTCTTCCTTTGAGAACACATGCCCATGTGGGCTGCACCTGCTGGATGCCAGCAATGCTTTAGGGAGAAGTGTGTGTGCACATGTGTGCATGTAGGGTGGGCTTGTGTGTGCATATGCGTGCACATGTGCTGGATGTGGGCTTGTAAATGTGTGTGCGTGTGTGTGCGTATGTGTGCATGTGGGGTGTATGTGCATGGGCATGCACACATGGTGGGGGCATGTGAGTGTGAGGAGAGTACTGAAGTAGCTACACACAGTGCTGTGGTGCCAGGTGCTGTTCTGAGCATTTTACAAACATCAGCACATTTAATCCTACCCATCTTGATAACTTAGGGACTAGGGACTATCACTATCACTGTAACCATCATCATCATCTTGACTTTTGCCTGTTCAGTTTGCAGGATGTTTGAACTGATAGGCATGGGGTCTTAAGAATGTGCCCAAGTTCACTCAGCATGCATGACAGGGACAAGGGTCCAACCTAGGCAGTCTGGCTCCAGGTATAGAGAATGTACTTGGCCACATGGTTGCTTGGCACCCACGTTGGTGTGGAGATACCTATGCGATGCCCCCAACCCAGCACCAGCAGTTCCTGAAAACGCGGGTCATGCGAACAGAAAACAGGCAGAGGTTGCAATACTAACACGAAGGGAAAGCTGCTCCCACCTGGGATCTGGTGGGCAAGACCAGGTGCCCCTGCCCAGAAATGGGGCCCAAGGGGCCATTCATCAGCCTTGAGCACAGCGGGTGATCCTGCTGCAAGCTTGGCCTGCTAGCTGCCTGGGGCAGCTCTGAGAAGCCAGTCTGAGGAGGCTCCAGGGCCCACCACTGTCAGTGTCCTGGCCTTTCCACCACCTCAAGAGTGGCCTGGGCTGGTCCAGGGACACTGAGCCCCTGCTCTCTCTCACCTCAGTCAGGGCTCAACATCAGATGCCTAACAATGAGCCACACCGGTCCACAGATGTGCCTGTTTAGCTCATATGATGTTTGAAACATTTTTAAATTAGTTATTTACAATCAAGAGATTTCACATATAAATCTGGATTCCCAGCTTCTCTTAAAAAACTCAGATGTGGTGACACCAGGCCTGAGTTCCAAAAAAAGCAACAATTGCAGAGCTCAGTGGCATCTGTGCCCTTTTGACAGGACACACACTTGCCATTTCTCCGCAGTCCCCACCGTCCCCTCTCACTTCCAACCTAGCCCATGCTCTGCTCATGTGGTCCTGCCAGATATTCGTTCACCTCTTCTGCTTTGACCTCTGGGGCACAGACTTCCCCTAAGGACATTGGGGCCAGGATAAGTAGGAAAGGTAGCAATGGGAAGCTCCACCTCTCGGGACCAGAGGCCTCTGCTAGGACCTCAAATGAGCAGGCAGTGGGCATCCAGGAGGAAGTGCCCATGGGCAGAGGGTCCCATGAGGGGAGGGGCTGACCTGGCAGTGCCCCTGGTGCCTGCCACCAGCCTCCTGCCTCCCTCCACAAGCACACATGTGTTGCCTTTCCTCCAGCTCTGCCCACTGCTTGAGTGGCATGAATCCGCCTGCCTTCATGGCCCTGTGAGTGGCTAGGGCCTTCTTCCTGGGTAGCGCTTTCCTCTTTGGTCTGGGAAAATTTCCTACTAGTCCTTGGAAGAAAGCTCACAAGTCCCTCCTACGTGAGCTGCCACAAATCCTCCCTTCAGCTTTCCCTCCCCTGTCACAGCCCTGACTGCCACTACTCCAGACAGCTTGAGGACACTCCCCTCTGCTGGGTTGCTGGACTGCCCACAGCCACACGCTGGGCTTGCAGCAGAGGCCAAGGAGAGCCAGTGAAGGCGGGGACTGAGCTCTCCAGGGCCACCACCCATCCCAACTCACAGCGTTCAGCCCCACCCTCAGCTCACAGCTGACTGAAGGCCACAGTCAAGGAAGAGAAGCACAGGGAAAAAATTCCAAAATTCTCTCTGGAGGCCCATGGAGCATGGATAATTCCACCTAGCCATCTCTTGGCTCCAGCCCTGCCTGCTGTCCTATCTCCTACCCCTAAAACTCCTGCCGTCTGTCTGTCCATCCACCTTTCCATAACCCCTGTACTTTGTGCCTGGCCCCACTCTAGGAATTAGAGCGCTGCCCGGAAGGTTGTAAACATTATAAATCTCCCTGGGGCCTCCCCTGCTGCCTGTTCCCCCCCACACACCATCCTCAGGATAAAGCCTAAACTTGGCAGGCAGGCAAGGCCCTGCCCCACTCCCTCCACCAGCCCCTAGGGGTGCAGAGCCTGGGCCAGCCCACCGTTTGCACAGTGCCCGCACGTCCAGGCAGCTCCCAGCCCCAGCACAACCACTACCCCTCTGCTCCCCCACAGCACCTTCCTGACCACTTTCCCAGAACAAGGCTGGAAGAGTCAGGGAAGGGACATCAACAGGGTCCTGGGCACTTCTAGAGAGAAGTTCAGGGAGGAGGTGATGCTGAAACCAACATCTAAAGATGAGCAGGAAGTAGCCAGGTAGGCGGGTGGGGTTGCAGGGCACATGACGGAGGACCATGGGGGTCGGAGGGCAGGGGCGAGGGAGCATGGTTGGCAGCACCCTGCCCTGGCATGGTGGGGCTGGGGTGGGGACACAGGCAAGTAGGTGATGTTCAAGGCTAAAGGTCACAGAGACAAAGATTCTGGGTCTACACCAGCACTGATCTGGTACACATCCTGGCTAACCCACTGAGGAGAGGTGTTGCCTCCCTTTCCTGGGGCTCAGTCTCTCCATCCATGAAATCTATAAAATGGGACGATCACACCTATCTTTAGGGGGTACTATGAGGGCCAGACTTCTCTGAGGCCCAGCCCCCAGGTACCACCAGGCCTCAGACTGGCTCCACATTCCCAGCTGGCCACTGG